ATGCAGAAGACGCCACCTTGAAACTGGTAGGAGCAGCGGAGACGTGGAACAGCTGGTCCCACACCCATGTGTGGTGGTTAAAAATCAGGAGGGCTACCTCGGCTGTGGAGGACTCCCCCTGGGGAGTCGGAGGTCTCAGGCCCACACTGGGCTCCCCAGCCCAGGGTCCCAGTGCCGGGAAGAGGAACCCCCACAAGAGCTGGCCGTGAAAATCAGTGGGTATTCCATTCATCCAGGTGATAAGGAAAACTGCTGGACACCCGGACATCCCCTTAAAGGCCCACGCACAAACTCGCTACTTGCAGGCACTTACCCTGGGTTCCCGAGGAGAGACAGCAGCTCAGGAGGTGCCAGACACATACAGGGAGAGACTGAGTTGTGTGGCCTCACAGCCAGGGCCGGAGGGACACAATCCGCTGTCCCTGTGCCAAGCTCTCCTCCTATGCAGCCAGCAGGCGGGCGCCATCTTTCCTGTGTTGAGCCCTCCCCCCACGGTCAAATCTGAATCTGATTGGCCTGGTGTGCTCTGCTCACTTCGCCCTAATGAATCCTTGGGACCCTACGCCACCCAACTCGGCATCACCAGAGGCACATTCTCAGTCAGTAGCCAGCCTCACCCTGTGCTGCAGTCTTTATTGGACAATTCTCGGGGGTCTGTGAGCCCTAGGCAGGCAGTGGCTGGCCGTGGTGTGCCCTGAGACTTTTGCTGGGTGGCCCCAGGCTCAGCACTGGCACCAAATCTGAATTTGCATTAACCTGGTGAACACCACTCACAACACCCTCCTGACTCTCTGAGACCCCACCTCACCAAACTCCCATACTGCCTGAGGCTTTTTCAGCAGCTGAGGTTTAGGGGAGCTGGCAGGTGGTGGCAGGCCTATAGGTCCCCTGTGCAGTTAGCTAAGCAGCCCCAGGCTCAGTACTGGTGGCAACCATCCTTGGTTCACAGCGTGACCTCTCCCATGCACCTTAAGGTCCAGCACAGGCAGCAACCACCTGCAGATCACTTTGTAGCTCCTACCAAGTGATGCCCGGGCAGTCACAGGCAGTGGGTGACCTGGGCCTGCACCAGAGCGCCTTCCAACAGGCCCCAGAAACAATAACCTGATGGCCAGCTTCAGACCACAGCAGAGCACTTCCCAGTTAGTCCCACAGGTGGCACACACAAAGGGCAGTCTCAACAGGCACTAGAGCCCACTGGGGTAAATCCCACCAAGTGGGATAAGCCCCCTGCACAGGAGCCTGTAAGCTGTGGATGTGGCCAAACCCCACAGCCTCTCAGCCTGAGGGTCAGTCCCATCCACTGACCTGCCAACAGCAATCAAAGCTCAACTATAACAGGAGGGCACACACAACTCATACAAGGGACATTTCTGGAGAGCCTGGAGCAGGTGATCAGGGACACTGTGCCAGGTTCCCACAGGGCACCTACTACATAAGGCCACCTGGCCAAGTCTGGGAGACATAGCAGCCCTACCTAATACATGGAAACAAACAGAGAGGCAGCCAAAATGGGGAGACAAAGACACATGTAGTCAATAATATTGTAATAACTATGTATGGTGTCAGATGGGTACTAGATTTGTTGGGGTGATAGATGGGAAGGGGTGGGGCGCTGGGTGAAAAAAGGGAAGGGATTAAGTAGTACGAATTGTCAGTTACCAAATAGTCATGAGGATGTAAAGTAAAGCACAGGGAATATGGTCAATGATATGGTCATAACTATGTACTAGTGTCAGGTAGGTACTAGACTAATTGGGGGAATAACTTCATAAATTATACAAAATGTCTAACCATATGCTATACACCTGAAATTAATATAAAATAATATTGATGTCAACTGTAACTGAAAAATTAAAAATGTTTTACATAACTTTTCACTCAGTCTGCCACTGATAGTACATTAGCTGTAATAATGGAACTATTATTATATGCAATTGACACTACACTAAATTTTATCTTTAAAATGACATATTTCTCTTTGATCCAGGAGTTGACTAATTTTCTGTTTGTAGCCTCATAAAAAGACAAATACTAGGGGATAGGGAGCTGGCATGATTTCTAAGGAATAAAAATCAGAACTACCAGGAAAACATTTGCAAGTGTTAAGTAATACCTGATTGGTTTTTTTTTTTTGGCAGAGACTCTGGGATAGAGAGATAGTAGTAATTTGTCCCAAATCACAGTGGGAGATCTAGGCTCACTATCAACTCTGATTCCAAAATAGGAGGGAGGGTGGAAGGTGAGGTATAGGTTACTGGGACTGGCATTTTGTGACATTAGTTTCTCCATAACAATGGATACTTCTATCCATTTTTTCTCTTCTTAGGTGCCTAAAAACAGAAAATCATTAGTTACTTTACATGTGATTATTCAACTTAAACCAATCACTGGGAGTTTTTCTATTTAAATTATTCAGTTGTATCTCTCTGTTTCATCCGTGGGCTCCTAGCATCTAGCACAATACCTGACACAGAATGAAATATTTATTGAAGAATAGCTAATGTCAGTATTAATATTTATCATCATATTTTTGAAGTGTTATAGATAACATGGCTTATGCTGGAAATAAGTGTTTTGGGTTAGAGACATGGGCTTGTGATGCGACAAGCACAGAGGGCTTTTTGTCAGCTATTTTAAGACGATTAGTTGTGTGAGCCTGAGGAAGTTTGCTTCACCTCAGTGTGTCCCAATTTTCTTATATGTAAAATAGGGCAGACGCCTCCCTTGCAGGGTTGTTCTGAGAAGTAAGTCATGTAATGTCCTAGCACATAGTAGACAATAAATAAATGATAGTTATTATCTGGGGTCAATAGAAAGGAGGACATAGACTAAGAAACTCCATTATGATTGGGAAAGATGTTTTGGGGAATTCATGCCCTTAATACAGACGTTCTTAATCTGTGAATCCTGTGAAATTCTATAAAAAAATGTGTGTTCATTGCTCTGGGGCGAAGGCCCATTGATTCTTATTACCTTCTTAAACTGCTATGTGGTATGAAAAGTTTAATAACCACAGCTCCAATTATTTTAGGTAGAATACTGTATTAAAACAGTGTCATAATCACTCCTCCCCCAAATTCACACCATTGGAAGCTCACCTCCAAGACAGATCAAATGTCTCTAGACAAAGGACCTGCCATCTTCCTCCTAAGCTCTGGTGCTACCTCAACTTTGGCCAAGGGAGAAAACAAGGGAGATGTAAAACCACTTGGGAATAATGGTACCACTTATCCAACCCTGCCATTGGATTAGTTTAAGAAGTCTTTCTTTAAGGCCATGTTAATCAGAATACACAGAGCGATGAATATACATTTGTAATCTCCATCACATAGGAAACTCATAGAAATTGGGAGACATAAAGCTTCAGAACATCAGAGGGGTCCAGTTCTGGGGGCTTCAACTGCTCTGGCCCTCATTCTCTTTACCCCTGAAACTCAAAACCTTTTCTAAGTCTAATGGGTTGGCAGCTTCATTTCAGCCTCTCATGGTGTTAAAATCATCTGTGAATTGATAGTAAATTGTTTTGTTTTAAAATGTCTTTACTTAGCAAAATAAAAAGTTGGTCACTTCAGAGACTCCCCTCTCCATTTCTTTTTCCTTAAAAATTTCCAGGTGTGAGATTCAAATCTGGAAATCACTGAATTAAGACAATGTTGCAAGAGTCCAGGTGAAGTAGTATGAAAGCTTGAATTAAGGCAGTTCCAATGGAGATAGACAGGCAGGAGAATTGAGAGTGGCCCATTGGATGTGAGGACGGAAGAGAAAGGAGTCACTGGTGAACTTTGCTCTCTGGCTTGGGGCTTGGGCCACTAAATGGATGAATGGCAGCACCATTTACTGAGCTAGAGCACACTCAGAGGGTAAAGGGAATATGAAATGATAGTGAATATATAAGTCTGAGGAACTTGCAGAATGTGCACATGGAGATAGGCAGCTCATAACTGAAAATGTAGCCTAGGAACTCTGGAAAGATTTGCAGGAATCTAGGTGGTAGTTGAAGTGGTAGAAGTAAATGAAATCATCAACTGAGACTAGAGGGACACACTTTTCCATTTCTTTCAGAAATGATGTTTAAAAATAAGGTGGCGGTAGTTGGCTTCCTGTGCCTAGCCAGGGCTCCAGGCTCTGATGGGTTCCTCACATGGTCTGGGTACTTGGGAGCAAAGTTCAATGTTTCTAGATTAAAATACTGAGCACAGTCAGAACAGAGTTTGGGAACATCCTGATAAAAGGAAACAGGGTCCATGGGTGAGTGGTAAGCTAAAAAATATAGGAAATGTAGAGAAGTATGGAAAATCTGATGTCTTTTGGGTACTAGGCAAATTAGCACTTATTATGTTCAATAAACAGCTTTGATACTTGGAGAGGACACCATTTGTTCTAAGGTCTTTGAAGACTGGACACAGTAGAAAATGATGCCTCAATTCAAGGCGCAGAAAACTCATCTGCACAAAACTCTAGCCCAGTGCTTCTCAAACTTGAACATACACACCAATCAACTAGGAATCTTGTTCAAATTTACATTCTGATTTAGTAGAATTGGTGTAAGGCCTGGAGTTCCCAGATGATGGTAATGCTGCTGGTCCTATTCAAAGTGTTACTGAAAGTGTGGTTAGAACTGTCTATGGCAATATGACATCGATCAATGGACTTGTTTCAAACAGGGTGCCAAATTTTTGTGACTATTTCCTTTTTTTGTATGTTATGTTTGTTTAAAAATGTAATTTTACATGTTGAATTGACTACATTATGGCTTTTACTTTGTGTATCTTATTTCATTTCACTTAAATAAATTCTTTTTTTTGTATTTTATGATAGTATCAGTCTGCGATGGATTTGAGGGAAGAATTGGACCCTCACCACAGCTAGTTTGAGAAACACTGCTCTAGACAATGAAAAACTTTTTATTTGAGATGTAGAATTTAATTAGAAATGGTTTGATGTAGAATTTAATTAGAAATGGTTTGATTTCTGTTACATAAGATTCTAAAGCAGTCTTTTAAACTTTTCTTTTTATTTATTCCATAAACAATAACAAAACTCAGCTAGGTAACATTATGACAGTTCCACCATACACTCAGTCACAAATATTTAAACCCTTTGCAACAAGAACAACAAAACCAGAGGTGTTACAAGAATAATTTACAAGAAAATCTATAAAACAGCAAGAAGCTCACAAATGTTCATTTTCTTTTGCACAAGATCACTACACTCTTTCACAACATGTTTTGTGTTACAAAATTCCCAACAAAAATGTATTTTTTTTCTTTGTATTGTGGTTTCTAAAACCAGAAACTTTGAAGTAAATATCCTTTTATGAGCACCTAGTGGTGCAGAAAAGGAAAACTCTCACATACAGACACTTCACAGCACTTTTCTAAGAAAAATATACACTTACAAAATATGTTACAAATTGGCACACTTAAAAATATACAAGATTTTGTAGGCGTCTTAAGAGTGATCCTTAAGCTTTATACTTCAATTGACTCTACAGATTATTTATAAAACTGAACTCTAAAAGAAAAAAGGCAAATAATTTCCTAACATTTTAAAGTTGGAGTGTAATATATCAAACAGAAACTTAGGTTACATTCATAAAAAGGGCCTCTAATGCTTTTATTTTAAATTTTCTTAAATATTTAAGGGGCTTGGGAGAGGAGAAAAATGGAGATAATAATTTTCTTTAGCACCATAAATCAGTAATTTACTAAATTTACTAAAGAGGTGCATTCAGTTTTATGGAAATTAAATTAAGGACTAGTACATTCAAAACTCTGTAGGCAGCAAACTCTAGTCAGTGCTACAGCTTTCTACCCTCCTCGCTGGGAGTCCAAAACAAAAGGCCTCTTCTGGTTTTCATTCTAAGCCTTTCTTTTGTGCTGTAAAACTAGGCATCTCTCAAAGAGGCAAAACGATTTCAGTATCTTTTTGGAGGGGATGTCTTTCTAAGACTCAAACACCAGTGAGCCCGTTAGATGGACACACATCCTTTCTAGATCATGTTGATGAGTGTTTCTTTAGGCTCTATTTACCCAGACACTGATTTTAAAAGCCTCATTCATACCTTCGACTTTGTACTAAGTGTCTCTTTCTTACATTGTCCTTCTCTAATGTTTTACCTCTTAGTTATGATTCTGAAACCAAAAGTACATCTCAAGTATCATGGAGCTGTAATGGGAGCTCTGAGTAAAAAATGTGCCTTAAAGGATAGCCTGAGTACTGCCATCAAAGTCATGCTATGCTGGCTGAGGACCTTCAAGCAGATGACAGCGTTTCCCAAGTTTAAACAGCCCAGCTGAATTTGGTTTTCTCTCTTATTCGGGTACTTGAGAAGCCTTTACAAAATCCCTGGCTCACATTGTGTTGACAAGATCCCTATTTGTTACTGAAATGTTTGATTTTGGTACTAAACCTTCTAAACGTAATCATTCGCTTAGTGAATTTTATGATTAGAAAACAAATCTCATATTAGTTTTATTTCATAAGAAGGACATAGTCCTATAGTGGTGGGCAGTCATTTAAAAAAACACAAACTATAAATGAAAACAAAAATTCCTTAAACTAGATAACTTCTCAAAAATCCAGGGGAAAAGAAACCTTTCTAGTTCTAGCACTAGTGGGAACGAGCACGTGCTCCATTCTCCTCTTCAGTACACAAACTTAGCTCTCTTCAATTCTTGGATGATCTGCATCAGACTGATTCAGCTTGGCAAGAGCAAGCTGGGTTAAGCGGTCCTTGGATGTTTTCTCCTTTAGACGGTCAATGCTGATGATTACAACCCACTAAAATGGAAATTCAGTCAAACTGTGGACCCTCACATAACAGAACACAGGATGCCAGCCAGTTGTTTTCAGCTTGGGAAGCATCCTTTATACCTCTCTGTTCGCACACACTTACCTCCCTCCCCCTAGCACACACAGATGCATCCCAACAAGGAAGAGTTCTGAGAAGATGTAAGTTGTCACAAAAGCCCACCTAGCACCAAGGACTTCAGGGAGATGGCTAAAGAAGTAATGGTGAAGGTAGTGCAGGAGGTTTGAAAACATTTAGGAGAAGGTAAGGCCTTAACACATCATTACACAGAGTGCCAAGATGTCAGCAGAGAAAGCTGGGAGGAAGCTGGCATATGAGACACTTGAGGGGCCCCTGGTTCAAGCCCAAACATAATCCGAAAGTCTCAAAGAACCTCCGTCGAGACCACTCTGTCCACATAGTCCAGCACCTAACCAGGGCAGAGAGGGGATCAGGTCTATTCTTACAGATTTCCAAGGGAAAGGAGCTCCCAACTTGCCTCAATCGTGTGATGTAATTCTGCGCGTGTGGGTAAGCATGTTTCAAATTGGATTTGAAAGTGGCCAAGGCCATTAAAGGGAAGGAAGAGTGAGAAGGTTCCTCTCTGAACTTCTGCAAGAAAGCAGCCTGGCAAAGGGCCTTCTATTCTGACACTTTGGGGAGGTGGAATATAAGATTATAAAAGAAGAAAAATTCTCAGACCAAGGAGTGAGGTTAAGTAAGGAAAATAAGGGAGAATACCATTTCCAGGAGAGATGAAGTGGGAGACATTCATAGGAAGTAGCTGCTCAGGGAGCAGAGGTTTGCAGGTGGTGGCAATCGGGAATTTCAGACCAGGGAAGACTTCCTATATCTGACTTGACTTGAGACATTACTGTTAGGGCAAAATGCTATTTTTATATCATTGGTCCTTACGAAGGCAGCTGGTTGAATAAGGGATCTCCAAAAAGTCAGGCCTACTATGCTGTGACAGAAAGAAGAGCTGTGAGAGCAGAGACAGGACCAACAAAGCCCTCAAAACTGAAGAAGTCAGAACATCATGTACTGGAGAGAGGGATGAGGCATGCCCTAGACTTGGCCCCGAATGCACTCCATAGGAGAAACTGCGAGTATCCATTCCAAAGGACTAATGATAGCCAGTCGTACAAGGAAATTGTTTCCAAGCTTCAGGCTGTCCTTGTACTCCACCCCCACCCCTTCTCCAAAGCTGAACTGATACTGAGAAAAACTGGGACAACTGCTCCCGTCGTTACTTTTTATAAGACACTTCGTATCATGGAACATTTTCTTTATTTCTTCTTTGATTGCCAGCAGGTGAGTTTGGAGTCTGGCAGAGTTGGTGATTTCAAACCAAAATTCAGCTGCGAAACATAACAAACAAAAACAATGCAAAGACCAGTTCCTAGGAGCCAGCCGCAGAATTTACTACCAACAGCTATCAGAGTGGAGAAATAGAAGAAAGTGTTCCACTCTGATGCTTTTCCCTTTTGGATGGCAGCTGTAGAGCAGGAGACATGTATGATCTGGTGCCTTTCCACTAAGAAATTTTCCAGGACTCCTCATACACAGAGCATCAAAACCCAGGAACAGGTCTGAAGCAGCTTTACAAAATGCTCCTCACCCACTCACCCTACACACACACACAGTCACACCATCAACAACGACAGGCTTGTTCATTCGACTACCTAGCTGTAAGTAGCAGAGCAGGCTGGTGAAAGGAATCATGGGCTGGGAAGTGTGTATACGAATACATGGGACAGGCTTCCTTCCATTTCTTTCTGACTACTTTCAAATGTTTGTGAGTATATTCAGGTGGCAATAACTAGGTAGGTTCATAGTTTGCTTAAATTTTCCCTTTTGAAACATCTTCCCTTTTTAAAAAATCCCCTTTTCCCCCACCCACTTATTCTCCACCCTCCCACCCACAGCTTATATATTCACAAGTTAATAGGTTAGCAACAATATTAGTAAGATAGTAAGATTAACAACAACAACAACCAACAACAATAATATCAATCCCCTATATCTGTATAGCACTTTATGATCTACAAAGCGCTTTCATATCCGTTATCTTATCTGTGCCATAATGCATCAGTCATCAGACACACAGGCCTTCAACTGTGCAAGGAAAATAGATCAAATGTTAGAAGTCAAGTGGTAAGTAAAGGCGAAGAAAAAGCTAGTAGTGAGGGATGTTCGAGCTGTGAAATTTAAAAAAAGGGGACTGAATAAAAATGTGATTTCAAAAGTTTATATAAAAATGGAAATTTAAGTTTAGTGTGTGGCATCAAATACCAGTCATTCTCAGACTAAGTATGTATGGCCCAAGTTAGTTGTGACCACGAGTCGTTCAGCTTATCTGAGATGCCTTAACGTTCTCTTTAAAAGACATTGGCATTGCAAGATAAAACACTTAAAGAACACTAAAGCATGATATGAATGCACTTTTGACAAAACGGGAATAGAACATTTAGGAAACTACTTAAATAAAAGCAATCTATGTACTTCATTTATCATTAGTGTTGATTTTATAGCTATTTTATAATTTATCCCAGACTATTATAAAATATATAAAACTGAGATATAAAGTATCAGCAATATAACTTTGCACTTTAAATAAATTTTCAGCTACAGGTTTTGCTTTTAGAAAACAAACTTTAAAGCAGCTGTTTTGTTTCCTTGTAAAAGGTTCTATAAATGTATATACTTGGGTCCTTGATGGACTTAGCTGTTGTGACTTCCAGAGTTTTCCAACATTTTAACCCTTAGACAATGGAACAAACAGAGCTGTATTGTGCCATATTTAATTCTTCATGTTTCCACACAGGACAGTAGAGTTCAACATTTTTAAATAATGTATGTATGCATATATATATATATATATATAGAAACTCATTAATGAGCTTTAAACTGGGGTGAATCTGTGAGATGAAGTAAGGACATTTGGCACATGTCAAACCATAGCCTTTAAGTTTTGGTAAACTGTGTAGCACAACATGTTTTCCCACTGTGATCTATAGGTGCTATCCACATAAGTGGGGGTGGTTAAGAGTGAGAATCACTGGAATGTTTCTAGTAAATCAACAGGGACAAGCTCCCCAAATACTCACAACCAAATGTTGAGATAGAAGGAAAATATATATACAACAGAGTCACTTGTTTGTAGTTTGGCACAATGTTTTCCTTTTTTTCTTGGGTAAATAGCGCATAAACTACGTGTGCAAGTGTGTGACTTTTAAAGTCTTTTACATAGAACATCAGATTAAAGTTTGCTTCCAAAGACTTATTCTCACACTTTAAAATTCTTTTCTTTAAGCACTTACATGTCAACATACATACCACAAGGCATATTTTGAAAGAAATAAAATATAAACATCAAATGTCTTTCTGGAAAATGCGAGCCTCTTCTTCAAACACAGGTAAAACCCAAAATGCTGTTTCTGCTTTTAGGAGATTGGAGTCGGAACCCCTGCAGAAAAACCAAACAATTTACGCCATCTTAGTTAGCTTTTAGCGCATGTCCCACAAAGGGATCATACAATCAATATTTGTTTACATCATTCTAGATGCCGTATGATGCAGAAAAAGACACAAATAGCAGGGCCACTAAAAAGCACTCCTAATTGCTGCATGATGAGATTTTGTTTTCCAAATTATGCTCTTTTTGCTTAAATGATCTTGGCTTTTGGTCTGTATAACTTTTGAATTCTGTTGAAATTTCTTTCTTTCTGCAAAGCCCTTCCTTCCCAAAACCATTCAAGAGCATATTCTAGTTCTATTTTCTCAATAAGTAAAAACTAATGCTGAATAGCAGAAAAAGTAGCCTTGTTAAAGAGCTGATCCCTAGCCAAGCCACAGCCAAATTGCCCAATCTTTTGGGTGGCTTAAAGGTATAGAGATTTTCATGCACTTTAATCTTTTCTTTTTCATTTGAAAAAGGGGAATGGGAAAGTTGCTTTCATGCAAACTTTTGCTGTTAAGAGGGAAAAAATGACAGACTGCGGGCTTAGCAGGTAGTAGGACAGCTAAGGACGCATCATCTCAGCCATTTCATTGCAGTATTACCTCAGTTTTTCAAAAGAAGCTGTCCCAGCCTCATCCTTGTGGATCTGTTCCCTCTCCATGCGCTTTCCCTTACACTTCTCATCTCTGAGAGCCTTGGAGCTGGATTTGTGACGATACAACTTTTTGTGTGTCGGTCCATTATTGCCTAAAGTGCTCAGGTTATTATACTTTTTCTCAAAGAAGGCAGAGCGAGAGTCCTCATTATAAGCAGGCAGGTTTGCATGAGTAGAATCACCTACCGCTGCTTTCCCATTGCTTTTACTCACACCCTTGATGGACCTGTGATTCTTAGTGGCTCCTGGTGACCCGTTGTTGACCTTTTTCTTAGATTCGTGTGGTGTCCCAGCCAATATTTTGAGGGTTTTTAATTTCAGACTATTGGACTCAGGGGAGTAGACTATGTTGGGGTCCCCATGGTGTTCCATGGGTTCCCAAAAGGGCTCTATGGAGGCCATCATGAATCTCTGCACATCCGCCATACCGGAAGCAATGTTGGACAAGATATAGGAAGGCTCCTGAAATTCCCGCTGGTCATCATCCAGGAGGCTGTTGGTGTTGGTGCCCATGCTCATGTCGCTCCAGCCAGGGCTTCTCTCCTTCCCCAAAGCCCAATCTCCAGAAAGTCCCTTCTGACCTGGCATCTTCGTTGAGGCCCCAGGGCCATCACGTTGGATGCACTCGGCCAGTGCCTTCCCTGAGGAGGACACGCTGTTGATTTGACCTCCCCCACGGCCAATGCCAACTTGCATTTTCTCTCCATTGATTGCAGCCATGTATTTCCCTTTCTTTGTTGACTTAGGGACCTGGCGAGAGGTTTTACCAGATGCCTTTTCAATCCCTTTGTTGGTGGCTTTGGGAGATTTTTTCCTGGTGTTTTTCTGAGAAGAGCTTTGGTTCATAACCCCACTCTTGCTGGGTGAACTTTTCTTTCTCGATTTTGGCACTTTGTTGTTCGCATTCATTTGACCGGATGGATCATTAAACGTTGGTAAGCAAGGGGTTTTTTGGAGTAGGCTGACAGAATCTTCATCATTGAACATATGGAACTGAAACTGATGGTTACTTAAAGAAAATCCATCTTCCACTTGGCCTTGCTGTGAAACGGCACTGCAGTCCCACTTGATCTTGTCCATATTGCCCAGTGGTCCTGGGACACCCTCTTGGAACCCCTTTAGTGTTCCTAGTGTCTTGATACTCTCACATCTGGTAATTTGAGGGGAAAGACTGGGGGTGTCAGGTGGGGACACCTCTGAGAGGGAAGAGTGGCGGAATTTGTCAGGAGTGAAGTTGGATATATCCAGGAGGTCAGTGGACTCCTTTAGTGGTGCTATTTCATCAATGCTCTGCTGGATCACCAGCTTGGGGCTGCAATGGGCCAGGAAGTCATCAGTGATATCATCCTCACCATCTTTTTCACAGGACTTCAAGGTTAAGGAGCAATAATTGCTTGAGTTGACAGAGAGTGGTGCCATGGAATCAAAGCTAAAGAGTCGACCATCATCCATATTGACTGGGCCATGCTGGAAAGGAAAGCAGATCTCTCCATGGTTAAAGTGACATAATTGATAAGAGTCATCAGCTGACAGTGGAGTGTCTTGCACAGAGGCATATAGGACCTTGTTGCAACTACTGCCACCACTGTTGAGGCAGACTGGATTGTATGCGGTAGTTGTGAGGTTATTTTCCATGGATACTACTTGGGAGACTCCAAATTCACTGGATTGGGTTGGTGTTGTCTCCCTGGAGACTTCAGCCATGAATTCCTGGGAACCAGAAGTAGGCTTGTTAGGCCACGCACTTCCAAAGTTGCTTGATTCCATTTTGAAGTTTTGAGATGATTGTTGCAGCTCAGACTCAGAGGGTGAGGAAAGCGCACAGTCCTGGGCACTCTGAAGAGGTACAAAAGATTTTTCTGTTCGAGTGACGCTGCCTTCATTTTGCTCTGGAGAGTGGTGAGTGAAGTAGGAAATACCAGTGTTATTTGACAAGTCAGAAGCATCTAACAGTGTTTGCAGATACCCTCCAGGGATAACAGGTATATTGGTGCCAACATTAGCAGATGATAGAGGCATTTCAGAAGAGCACGTAGTTGGTAGGAAAGTGGAATTCTTAGCAATCTTTGTTTCATGAAATTCAGATAGATGGGAAGTGTTTGAGGTCCCAGGAATAGCTTCATTCTTTACATTAGCCTTGGAGGACCGGTCTTCCGAAAGAGGGCTCATTTGAACAACTGGCTTGCTTTCTTGCCCAGCTTTGATTTTCTTAGATTTTAATCTGGCTTCACTTTTGAATTTGATTTTGTTGAGCACTTTCCTCTCTGGCCCCTTAAACTCTGCATCTTGGGCTTTGGCTTTCACTGAGTCAGGGCCTGTGATGTCATTTAAATGTGATCCATTTGCACAGCTGGGGGCAGCCAGAGGTGCTGATTTCAGTATACCCTTCAGGCTTCCATCTTCTTTGTGACTACTGGCTTGCCTCTGATCATTGCAGAATGAAACCTGCTTACTGTTTGCTGAAGTTTCCATGGATGGAATTCTTTGAATCCTGTGCCTGTTGCCAAGTTTAGATTTTCGTTTGCGAGCAGGTGGCAGGAATGACACCTCAAAGCTACCTGCTTCAAAGCTTTGCTTTGGGCATAAATGTGTCTTGTTGGAGTCTGTGCTGCTGTTTATCTGCTTCTTCTTCTTCTTCTGCCAGAAGGCCTTCAAGGGGGCCAACTTGGCATATTTGTTTAGCTGATTCTCACTCAAATTCACTGTTGTCTCACTGGCATCCACCCTACCCAACTTCACCAGCATGTTCTTCTCACCTTTAAAGCGATTGATGATAATATATTTGATAATAACAGGGGGCTCTTTACGGGTTACTTTTCTTCTCTTTTTGGGACACCATTCATCATCGTCTTCCTCTTTGGAACCACCTGGCAGCCATTCCTTCCTCTCATTTACTTTTTCACCCTCTAGTGAGTCAACATCATATAAATAATCTTCACTGTACCTGACTTTTCTCTTGGCTCGCAGCCCATAGTTCTGCTGGGAGGAGGAGCTGCCAGAATTAGTGTCCCGAGCCATATAGCGGCTACAGTCTTTGATCTCCCCCATGGCATCATAAGAGACCTCAAGGAAGGAGCTGTCATCACTGAAATTCCCTGAGGCCTCCAAGGAATTGGCAAGATGGCCCTGCTTTGGATTCTTAAATTGCCCTCCCTCGGTCCCAGTGCATGATTTTTTTAAGGCAGATTTTTCTCCATTTTCCTTTCCATCTTTTTTCTCCACACCTTTGTCTTCCTGTCCTTCTTCTTTGCCTTTCTTCTTGTCCAGGTTTTTATCTTCCTCGCTCCAGATGATGCTCACGTCAGGGACCCTGAATTGGGAAAAATCGCTGCTCTGTTTCAGGGCCCCACTCTTGGACTCTCGCTTGGAGCAGGTGGTAAAGACACTGGGGAAAAAGTTGAATTGGGCATCCTCCTGCATCAGAAGGGTGGTCTTGTCTCGAACATTGTCCTGGAAGGACTCATATCGAATTTTCAGGGAGCAGACGTCACTGCCCAGTGTGGACTCATCATCATCAAACATGTAGTTATCGACATCTTCTTCAGAGAACAGGTTGACAGACAGCTCATTTTTGGAACAGAGGTCAAGCAGTTCAATCTTACTCTCACTAATGAAAGTTTCAAAGTAACCCCAATCCTGATTGGAATTTGCCAGCAAAGCCTCTTCTGTATTGCACTTATCTAAGAGTAATGCCTCATAATAACTCTTCTGAGCTGGATCCTCCAAGTCGATGTCGGGTTTCTCGGCTTCTCGTCTATCTCCTGCCCTTGATTTGTGTAGGGGGAAACCAAGGAGCTGGTCTGAGAGCAGCTGCTCTCCGTATTTCATGTTTTCTCCAGCATTAATACACTGAATCCCTATATCAGAGACTGCACAGGTTTCATAATCCCTATTTAGATCACCGACTTTTAGACTGATGCCTGGCTCAGGATCTACTGCATCCTTGGATTCCATGAAGCAGCCCAAGCAAGTCCGGCTAGGCTGCATGAGGCAGTCCCCGTTCAGAGCGGACATGCCTGCAGGCTCCATTATGGCGAATGGAGCTTTCTCACACTCACTGGGCAGTGACCACGTGTTCAGGCCTTTTGTGATGCCAGATGTGAGGGAGATAGCATTCACAGAAGCACTGTTAGCAGCGTGCTCAGGTGCTTCAATCAGGCCCAAAGGAGAGGGAGGGCCCTGTATACAAGGCTTCTTAGAGGGCAGAGGCAGGAGACCCCGGGGGTACATCACAGTGTCTTTTTGAACCACTGATATAGGCTGGATTGGTGCAGCAGCGTCTAGACCTGTGAATGACTTCATTGCCATATCCTGGTCCTCTGAGTCTAGAGAAAAGGGGGGAAAATGACAGGAATCGAATTAAAGATCTTAGACCAGACTCATTAACTCTCTTTCCTTTGATCGGTTTCTGCTCCTTGATCTTATTATGTGCTAAGCCTCAGCTCCTCTAGCTTGAGAACTGGAAATTACAAAGTTAAAGAACAACCCTGATATTTTACACTGAATGTTCATGCTAGTGAAAAATATTATTTCTTTAGGTTCACCTTTTTCTTTACATACAGACTTTCCTCAGAAATAAGGAAAGAATTGGAGTGACTGCTTGATCAACTGCAAAGTCAAAGCTTTCAGGGTAAGAAAATGCTCTGATGGGACATTCATGGTTCTGGGCTATGAGGCTCAGTCCTATCCTTCAGACATCTGTTCTGGAAGCTCCTACTGAATCTAGATGTCCCAAGCCTCACATCAGAGCATATTTCTAATTCACAAGGAATCTTGAGGAACTTGCCGTATTTTGCTGTGTATAATGCGCACTTTTTTGCCCAGATTTGTGAGGGGAAAATAAAGATGCACATTATACATGGGAAGTACTAATGTGTATCTATCTAAATGTTTTTAATTCTTTTATTTATGCTTATGAGTTAAAAGTAAAACTCTAGAAATCAATGATTTCCGTATGCAGAATAATACCCCGAAATACGATCATTGGTTTTGTTGAATTTACAATGAACTTGCAATGAAGAAGAGTTCTTGGCTTTCTATGATGCGTAAATATCAAAAATTTGTTATTTACCGGTACATAAAATTTCTTGTACATTGTATCTGTTATTGTGTTTTGTAATTATTTATTACATAAAACTTCTTATACCACAATATGTTAAAAAATAAATGCTGAAATTCTTTTATAATACAAAAACCAAGCACCTAAATACAAACAAATAAAAATTTGAATTAAAAAATTAAAATGAAAGATTGTTTTCCCTGAAAGTTTGGGCCAAAAATGTGGGTGCACAGTATACAGAGCAAAATACAGTAAGCATTTATATGACAGTGATGATTTGGGAGAGCTCAGGGCTTGGATTAGGTATGTCTTAGAGACACTTCTAGCTCACTTAGCGATTTGGTTGAATAAAGTTTAGGATTAACATCAATCTCAGAGGCATTTTAGACTTAAGCTACCCAAACTTTGTGGATACTAAAACTCTATAATAATAACAAAGGACTACTGGGGGAGATATTATATACTATAATGGAATGCACTTACCATTTTCTTTGATCCCATTAATCAGAGTGTTTTCTCCATTGGCTGAGGCAACAACAGCCTTATCTTGTTGGTTATCCATGAATGTAACCTCTTATTGTTTCATTCCAAGTCCAAATGCTGTCCAACCTGCACATTGGAAATATATAATATCAGTCAGTAAACTTGCTTTTTCTCTGTTTTAAGGTTATTTCATCTAGAGAGATCCTAAAAGGCTCACTGGAATTCACCTGTTTGCAGACTGGCTTTATTACTGCTATTGTTTTTGTTTCATATTTTACACCTACCATAGAAGTCACTTTGGAAACTCACACTTCATTGTCACATCCTAGATCCTTCTATCCCCTCTAGGCTACCATACTATTCAAAAGCAGATGAGCAGGCTGAGAATGGGGCTGAAATCTGAGGAAGCAGGCAAGCTTACACCTTCTTCCTGATAGTAACACATTTAACTTAACCAGTTAGGAAGGATGCAAAGCGGAGTGCAGAGTAACCTGGGCTTAAGGGGACTGTTTTTCTTGGAATTGGCTTTATTTCTGTTTGCCTCATTTCTACTTCAGATGATCTGATGCTCTTTGAAAACAAGCCAATTCATATAGACACACACATGCTAATGGTGAAAGAGGTAGAGAATTCGTTCCTTGCTTTCTCGACTTTGGTGATCTTAACTGTGGTGTTAACAAGTATTCTTCCAAGCCCAAAGCAGGAGTTTAAAATGTGACTACAAAGAATGTCTGGAATTTATGAAAAAGTCCAAGATCACCTGGCATTTTTAGGGCATAGAACACATACCTACAGCCCCTCATCTCCTGCTCACCCACCTGGATGGTAGGTTTATGCAAAATGATAGGAGACCTTTTAGAAATCTTCAGCCCTTCTTTCCGTGTGAATACAACAAGTAAGTATCTCTTTCTCTTTTCCCTGGCACAGGTGGTTTATTGGCTATGCTCAAGTCAGGTCTTGTATAAAATGAGAAGAAATTTTTGTAATTGTGTGATATATAAATGTTAGGGGAAACCCAGGCTCATCTAACATGTTTTAAACTGGATGATTACCTAATACAGACTTCTTATTTTACAGACAAGGAAACATGCCTAGATAGGTAAAATATCATATAGATTGAATCATGTGAAACTGTGTCTGCTTCCTGCTTCTTGTTTCCTCAATGCTGGACCCACCGTTTATACTATATGCATGTGTTTGGATAAGGGAGCACACAATTGAGATTCTTATAAGAGCTGATTGGCCGTCAGTAGTCAAAGTTCCCATCCCTTGGCAAGGAGGGCTCATCTGTATGGAACTGAATGAGCCCATCAGATGGCTGAGCCTGTGCCTCAGACACGACCTTATAGGTCAGATGGAGTCATACCGCCATCATGGATTACTCTGTGCACATTTCTTTTTCAGGAACTCAATATAACTTCAGGTATCATTTCACCCCCTTTTTAACCCCTCCACTAATTCCATCTTGGCACGACTTGATAAGGAGCAAATTATGTGTAGATTTCAATAATTTAGTGTCTTCTTGTCCCTTATGCTTAAGGCTAACAACAACAAAGTCCATTTTTATCACCAGGAAGACCAAGGCACGGAGAAGCAAAAAATAAAATAAGGTCACAAAATAACATATTGGCAGGTCTGTGAAAGGAACCTAAGTCTCCTGTCCAAGAGACAAGCTGTTTTTTTCTTAAAACACAAAATGCTTTTTCTATAATTCTTACCATTTCCAACCCCTGGCCCCCCAAAAAGCTATAGAAATGTAAATCTCCACATGTTACAGAGCTATACTCCCACCCCCTTTCAGGCAATGAAATAAAGAACAGCTGCCTCAGATAAGTATTGATTATTAGTAAAAATTAATGTACCATAAAATATATATAGGAGCAATACAATTAAGTATCAAGACTTATCCAATCTTGTCAGACAGAACAAGGACATAAATGTCCTCTAATAGAAAAATCTGACCAAGCACCCAGGATTTACAGCTCGGAAGTAAAGGGACTCTTATGAGGTTGAGAATAGAAGAAATACACTTTGGCAAGAAAAGAGGTGGAGGGTGTGTGGGAGCTTGGGTTGGGGAAGGGAGAGAAAGGGGGTGAAGACACCCATTAGGTGGTCGGCTGCATACAGCTACAGGAATTCTCTTAGTTTGAACTTGTAATCACCTTGTGAGGTTGGCTGTACTAGGTTCCCTTTTTCCCAAAAGGGAAACCTGAGTATCATAGATATTAACTTAATGTTGATCAATTATTTGGAGCTTTGTTCTACAGATTTAGAAGGCCAAACCACAAGCAGACAACCCTTTTAGTCCTTTCCTACGAATTTTCAAATCTCACCTCTGAACAAGACAACCTAAAAGTATATATTTTCCCACGTTTGTATTTATTTATACCTTGGCTGCTTATAAAAATGATTTGGGAGAGAGATTATAATTTTCGATAGCTACAAACAGCTCTGTGGTTGCTTTAGCTTTTCCCCAGTGATCAGCATTTTGGGACAAACTTTGTGGGGTTTAAAAAATCTATTTTGAGCTAAAATTGATTAGCATTTTTTGAACAACGTACAACAAATTGTTTGCTGATTGTAATGGCAATGAAGTAACATTAGCAAGGAAACAGGTATTTGGAAGCCAGAAAAGCACCCCCTCATACCTGTCTTTCCCCTGGGCTGGGTCTCAGGATGCTGTCCCAGGAAGCTGCTATGCTCTTCCCCAAAGACCTTTGAGCCTCAGGTCTCAGAGTCTAGATGACCCACATCAACCTTTCTGTTGGGAGCTGCCCTTGGCCTTTTGCAACTGGAAAAAAAAAGCAAGGCATCAAAGTAAAATTATGTTTCTGTCTATGAGCCTTTGGGGTTTGAATAGTGCTGATCCCTGGGATACCAGTTTAAATCAATTCAGCAATTGAGTAGACACCACTCATGGTCATGGTGGTGGAAAAGACAGGTGAGTGGGACTAGATCCATGTTCTCACGGTGCTCAGAGTCACTGGGGAAAACAAACCATAGACAAATTCTAATAAATGTATAGTAAATAAATGTGTAATACAGTAAAAGAGAGGCAAAGTTTCTATGGGAGTTCCAAATGAAGAGAAATCATTGCACTTTTTGAAGTGGAATAATTCTTCCCTGAGCACAAGGCCCTAAATAATTGATCATCAAGTTACTATCTATGATGCCCAGTTTTCCCTTTTGAAAAAACAAAGGGAACCTAGTACAGGCAGCCTCACAAGGTCAGGGAAGGTTTCACTAGTAGCAGCAACATTTGTGATGGACCTTGAAGGATGGTCGTTCAGGAGGTGGGGTTGGGGAGGCACTGAGGAGAGAAAGGCATCCAGGCTAAAGGAACTTCATGAACAAGTTACAGAGCCCCAGGCCTGACAACTTGCCTTAAACATTTCTGTTTTGCCTTGTATTCCCCTTTCTAGCCTCCGTTTCAGCTCCTTCTCCCATGTAGACAGAAGAGAGAGGTCAAGGGCTTAACAGATGGTTGGATTCCAGGCCAGATTAGCCTCAGCAATATGAGTGCCAGGATTTTCATGAGACTAAAGCAAAGTGAGTAATAAACTCAACTGTCAGGTCCAACCTGGATAACGAAGTTGACAAGGATCTTAGCTGTCATACTGGAAAGGAGACAACACGCCAGCAAGCCGTTATAGATGGGAGATCTACGGGTTTGGTTGGGGACTGACATGGAGCAAGCAGATGGGAGTGCTGTAGCAAACAGGTCCACAGAAGCTTTCCAGGCCAGGCTAGCCAAGCTCTGTCTCATCTGATTCTTCCCAGTTTAAGTCCAGTCATCTGACGGATGACAGAATCAGTAATAGTAAGAGAGCACATTCTTATCCATAATCCTGCTTGGCTCATTCCATTTGCTAATACCTACCAGGATTTGAAGATAGTAAGTTAGAAATATGGAGGTATGATGCTTTTAAATACACGTTGTCAAGGTGCTCAGAGTCTGTTATACAGAAACTAAAGAATTCTATATATCTCAAAAGTACTGTATGAATCTACTTAATTTGTCATGATAAAGATTCCCAAACTTGGGCCAGCCGAGTGGCGCGTTGTGTATCTAAGGATCAACTAGCTTTGAGCAATCTATAATTCATTTAATTCATTTTGAGTCATATAATTCTTTTTTCATTAAAAATCAAAATTATATGTACAAGGAATAATTCACATATATGAAGAGTTCTGAGTGAAGTTTCATGTAATAATGAGATGAACATAAAATGCACACATTGCGGGAACTCTCTACGCTCTTCCTTCTCATGTCCCTTCCTGTATTCCTCTGATTATTGTACATTTGTACCCCAATCCTGTCAGAAGTAGCTGCTGCTATGTCAGGGTTCTGTATGTTCCACCTGCCTTCATTTTTGGCAACTACCAGACTAAGGCAGTGTGTGTGTGTGTGTGTGTGTGTGTGTGTGTGTACTATCAGGCTCCTGAGCAGCAGCTATAATGGCTGCACTTTTGTCCTGGCTCAGTGGCTCAAAATTTGGGTCTCCCTTCGTCTTGATCTTTTTGGTCTCAGGAACAGAGGACTGATGTCACCATATTCCTCAATTCATCAGTGATCACAGCAAAGCTTCTTTCTTGCCATTATTCATTTATTCCCATTTATTCTGACATTTTTCATAGGTAACCATTCTAATGTGGTAAATGTGCATCTTCGTTTCTATGTGTTTTTAAAAATGTGTATTGTTATATGTATATATATTTTAACACTATGTAAATGATGTCCCGCTATAGATATAATTCTCTTAATTTTTACTATGAACCATGTTTTAAAGACCCATTCATAGTGCTATGAATCTGTTCTGTTTATCCGCTGCATAAGGCTATGGTATGCACACACCCAGGATGCCTGGCCTAGCACTTTACATCCTGAGTTTGAACCTAATTCAACTGCTCTGGAAGGCAAAAACAATGGAAGATGACCTTTGAGGCACTTCATATGGCAGACACTGTTAGGTACATACCTTCAACTTCCCTTCCCATGAAATATCATTTAAGAAATTATTCATCTACAGAAATACAAAGAAGGAATTTAACAAGGGATATAGACAAATTTAGAGGAAAATGTCCAGAACGAGGGGACACAAGTTAAACTCAGGGGGGAAAATTCAAGAAATATGTTTTCTGTCTTCAAATACCTGAAGAGCTATCACAAAAAAGGTGAAACATATGGACCAACAGAGATATCCAAAGATGAAATTGATGCCTGGGGCAAAGGGGAAAAACACTTCCCTGTCACCAGCAGAATTCAAGCAGAGGCTGGGCAGCAGTTCAACAACAGGAAGAGAAGCTGGACTAGATCACTCTAACTCTAATACTTTCTAATTATATGTGACAGGAAAAAAGTCAGTAGTACCAATTGGAGATGAACTCAAGGAGCTTTTAAAAAGGTTTAAAAGGTAACCCAGCAAAGCTAATAAAACTGGGTCCTACTCAAGCTACCCTGCCACATGTTTGAGATAGACAGTAACAGAAGACATTCCCACACTCTGACACCAAGTACCACCTGGGATATGGGCCATGCTTTCATAAAGGACAGAGAGACAGCTCAAGAACAAGTGGCTTTGGGCATGGAGGAACACTGCAGTTCAAACCGAATCTTAACAACCAATCTGCCATGTTTCCCCCGTTTGAAAGCCTGATGACATGACACTCCACTTGGCCGTACTCCTCAATCCACTTCCAGCCCAGGCTCAATGACGATCAAGGTTGGCAGAAGGCAGACAACATGCCAATTAAGTGCAAACATACCCTGAAAATTAAAATGAAAATCAAATGCCAACGCTGTGAAAACAAACTAGCAGCTTCCTCGGAAACGATGAAGAAATAAAGGCAGAGAGAAAACAAGAAAAAAACCTGTTCTTAGCCTTCAGTTCAAGGCAGGTGGTACCTGCTAATGCTCAAAAAGTACTATCTTCCTTTGGAGATAAGTAAAACTAGGGGTGGGGAAAAATAAATTAATCAGTATTGAATTAAGTCAGTACGCTGGCTTCTAGTCCCAGCTCTGCCACTTAATAGCTATGTGATGCTGGGAACATCATTTAAACTGTCTGCGCTCCACTTTCCTCATCTGTCAAACAAAAGTAATAGTTATCTGATAGGGTTACTGTGAGACTTAACTGATATATCGACATATCTACATGAAGTAGTACAGCACCTGGCTCGTAGTGGGTAGTTCCCATCTTCTTCTCCCTCCTCAGCTCAGGGTACCATTTTAAAAATTCCTGACAGGATACTCTTAAATTGGGAGGCGGAATCCCCAGGACCCTTGTGTTGTTCAAGGGAGGGGGCACAGAAAGCAGCATTCAAAGCAATTCAGCAGGATGGTAGAGGAGAACTACCTGAATGGGGCAGTCTGCTCCTTCCTTCTTCTTTCCTGTTGATCTCTATATTTTGAGGTGCCAAAAGCGAAGGTCACGGTAAAGTTCCTACAATCTATTTGATGCCTGCAAAGTACTACCGAGTGGAGGATGGGCGGATGGGTAGCTGAACAACATGACAGGACATGGTTTAAGGTAAATGGAAAAATCTTGTCTTCTGCCATATAGCCGAGCTTCCCCATGGCTGCAACTGGATGGCTTTACATGGCCCTAGTATAATCCTATTTTATCCCCCCACTTTTTAGTCCCTCCCCACTAGGGCTATCATGGTGACCATATCTTGCCTTTTTCCCACATCCAGACAATCGTAGAAACCCAAAATCCATTTGGGGTTTTAAGTAGAAAGGGAGAAGAGAGGGGAGAGGAACCAGTGGTTTCTGCCCCCAGAAAGTTGATGGCAAAAGCCTCTCCTATCTTTCCCCTCCTGCTCCTAGGAGTGAGGGGTTCTGGGCTCTAGTCATGGTTCCACCATATTTGTTAATATGTGAGCCTATAAAATTAAGATGAACATTCCTAACATTTCTACTTAACAGAGATGTTGGGGGCTCAAATGAGAGAAACAATGGATATAAGGGTGCTTAGTAGGTCATCAGATACCTTGAATGAAATCAGATCCTTCGTGACTAGAGAAGTTACTTTTTAAAAAATATTCTCAGGATTATCCATTCTGTTGTCACATATGGTACATAAGTACTTTGTCACGTATGGCATATAAGTACGTTGTCATGCCAACCTAAAACATTCTTAGTGAAGAAATAAGACAATAGCTCTCCTGAAAATATGCTCCTTAGCTTTTGGATACTTTGGGTACTTTTCTTGAATTAGTTAACAATAAGATGAATGTGATGCAGTTGCTGACTACTGCCTCATCTGGCTACCACTTTACCACTAAAGTTGAAAGGAAGCAGCCTCATTTAAAGACCAAGATACAAGTAAGAGGGCAGGAATAGTGAGCTTATGAGTCACAGGAAAGAGAAGTACAGCAACATGCCTTTCCCCGTGCCAGATGGGACTGGGTTACATTATACACATTAGCAGCTACTTAAACAGCTAGCTAGCTGGAGAAGTTTTGCTGCGTTCAGATGACTACAAGTAAGGCCCAACACTAAGCTGACGTTTCAGTCCATGATGTCTAACAAGGCTATTAACGTTTATCAATCCTTACTGTGTACTACAAGCTTTATATTGATTTGCATTTAATCTTTACAAAAGTCCTGTTAAGTATGCAGAATTTAGCATCAAGAGCCATATGTGCGCATGCACATGTGTGTGTGTGCATGTGTGTGTGTATGTAAAAGTGAACAGTGCTTTCCTGAGTAACGAAGACCTAATTGCTAATGCAGTATTTTTCTCTTATCTTCATGTAACTTCCCATTAGCTTACAGTCTTT